GCCCACAGGTAAGCCCAGAGACAGACCTGACACCTGTCTCAACACACTCCCCGCCCACAGGTAAGCCCAGAGACAGACCTGACACCTGTCTCACCACACTCCCCGCTCACAGGTAAGCCCAGAAACCGGCCTGACACCTGTCTCACCACACTGCCTGCCCACAGGTAAGCCCAGAGATAGGCCTGACACCTGTCTCACCACACTCTCTGCCCACAGGTAAGCCCAGAGAAAGTGGATCAGTAAGAGACACTGTGTTTGTGTTTGGCAGAAGGCTGACTTACTTGTTCTCCTTTAGGACCAGTTTGACCCACAGCACCCTACAACAAAACAAACATGAGTAGCACAGGAGACTATTTTTAATTTGGCAATAAAAAAACTAAACAAAACACTTGATTTATTCAACATTAATTTAAAACATTTTAACAGCTGTTTTTCAGAGAACACATTTTGAAAAAATTAAAAACACATTTTTTAAAAGAAAAAAAATATTTAATCTTCTTTTTAAATTGGCTATGTGTTGATGTCTCCTATTGTATAATAAATACATTCAACAGATTTTTACTATGGATGCTTTTTTGCTTTAAATCTTTTATTTTGTGAAGTGAATGATCAAATGATGAAGTGGATTTAGTGAAATTATGAGTGAAATTTGTATTAGACATGTTCGACAACCACATTCTAAATAATGGAGAATACTAATCTTCCTTATTACGTGAAAGGTGTTATAATAAACATAACTATAGTAATTGTATGTATAAAGTGCTTGTTATCCCAAAGTCTTTACATGGAACCCATTTAAGGGTGGGGAGCTACCTATGTGACTCACAGCAGCTGTTCTGTACTAGCACTATATAACAAATCATGTGGAGATTAATAGCCCTATTGTTATGCACAGTGGCATGGAATGTTTAATGACTAAGTAGCCAAACCCTTGGTTTAACAACTCATCTGAAGGAGGGAACTTTCTAAAGCACAGTGCCCCTGATGGCTATATTGAGGCACTGGCCTGAAAGCTCTGGTTAAGAGGAAAGAGTACAGAGCCCAGCACATACAGTAGGTGGTGGTGGAAGGGAGTCCCTACTACCTGTAAAGCACTATTAGTGAAATGCCCAAAAAAGTGCTAAGTGTAAGCAATTATTATTATTACTGTATCCTGTTGTTCATTGAGTTTTGTATTTTTTTCCTTTCTGAATATTCTCAAGTTTTCAAGAAGTTGTAAAGTTGCTTATTTATTTAGTCAACACCTCTTTTTGGATATGAATTCACATCCTATATTTTACAAGAAAACAACAGTGCTTTTTGTGCAGGGCTTTAGAGTTTAGAAACAGATCTCCTCTGTGCTCCAATAGTGCTCCTCTCACCCACAGATGGCACTATTGACTCATTAATGTGTCCATAACTTGACCAGGAATTTGTAATCCTTTAAACAGGATTTGAGCCAGGAGACATTTTCTACATTCAGATTAATGATATTGTATAATTATTTTCCACTAACTTTCCCATGGATATTATCTCCTTCAGTACTTAAATTGGTTTAAAGTTTTAAAATTGATATTAGTTATCTCAAAGGAACCAAATCAATAAAGACATACTGTATTTTCTGCTCTCTTTTTGGATATGAAGTATAATATAAAAGTGCATGCTGCACTATGGTTTCAGAATCCCATGGTCCTTTTTTATCTTTCTATTGAAACAAAGCACATTTAATACAAAAGTACAGAATTACAGTTTTCCCCAAGTGAAATCAGTTGGTTCCTACATTTTTATGGTTTTTCACAAAATCTGTATAAAGACCATGTAAAATCAGTGACTGTTGAAGGAATCTATAGCACATGGTACTGTAGGTTGTGAAAGAAGCTACAGTAGGAGACACTTTCAGCTAGAGTTGACTTTTTTAAGACCTGTATCATCTTTTGAAATATACCCTTTTCACTGCTGGATGTACTGCAATATAATGAAAATATATAATGATGATTTCAGAAAGAAAAAAGTGCATTGTCTAGGACAACGTATAAATGTATTGATTTGTCATTTGGATGCAATTTGGAGCCATGCTATTCAACAAAACACTTCTGACTATTTCTGACTTACGAGTCCATTACAGCAATGTTATTCTCCTGACCTTATAAAACTGGCCTAGCCTTTCTGCACAGATTCTGTTGCTTGCTTGGCTGTTCAGTGAGGGAACATAACTGCAAACCAAAATAAAAAAATAGATTCCCTTTTTAAATAAAATGCATATCAAATGCATGTTGATGAATGGTAGACCTTCTCCAAACATCTTTGGGAATTAATTGCTTTATTTTACAAATGAGCCTCCTTTGTTATATAGCCAGAAAAAAAATTCAGAGTAAATAGCAAATAGTAAAGAGGGCTATGTTCTAAAAAGTGAAAAAATAAGGTAATTTCCATAGGTGATGTAACTGGAGCTAAACCTGCCTAGAAAGTACTTACCCTGTCTCCTTTAACTCCAGGTAGGCCAGCTGGACCGGGCAGCCCTGGCAAACCAAGGTCACCTTTAGGACCCTGAAAACAATGTATAAGTTAGCACATAGAAATCCCACAGGAAAAACAGATTTTTACTTTGCCAATTTTGGCTGTGCTTACGACCTTAAAACTATGTTACACAGGGTAATTCTGTAGGCAATGTATCTGTCCTCTCTTTCTTCTCTCCTCTCCTGTGATCAGCACTCACGGACCTTCAGATTCCTTGCTAACAGAGAGCTCTTTCAACCCAGGCACTCATACTGGGATTCTCCTGTTACTGTGTCAATACTCTCCGGCCAGATACAACAAGAGACCATTCATTCTACTCCCCTGTGGCTCCTGCTGCAGCTCAGACTCTGAGGTGATCCCTCTACCTCCCCCACAAAAAAAAATATATTTGCTATGAATACACAATAACGTCTAACATCTTAACTAAAGGAATTTTTTTAAGTGCTTTTCATTTAGTTCAGAAAACTAGTGAAAATTACAAAGATACTTGAATATAATGAAAAAAAATGTTTTTTAGATTGTTTCTTATGGTTTAGCATCCTTTTTTACATGTATTCACTCCTATTTTTTTACTATGACAGTGCAGTGGAGCAGAGATAGTTGTTGAGTGTGCTGTAAAAAGGCTGTAAGCTAGCTTGAATAACAGTGGCATCAGATATTATTAAGAATGGCATAGACAAAGATTAGTTTTATGGGTTTATTGACTACAGCTGCACCCTTTTTTATTTTATTTTTCTTCATTTTTGAATCACTGAGTTTAATCTTTCAGCTGCAATCCCTGCACTGAATAGGCAAATTACAGCCTCTGTACACACTCCTCCCACACACCTGCCCTCCTGCTGCATGGTTGCTTACAGGAGGATAGGCACTGAAAGGAGGAGTGATGATACACATTCACAGGACAGTAGTTCAAGCTCACAGGTAATCAGTAAAGCAGCAGGGTAAAGTCGAAGATGCCAATTCAAGCCAAAAGCAGTGCCCCTTGGCCAATTCTGTGCGACCACGTGGGGAATATCAGTCAGAGCTGTCTAATGAAGCAACAGACTGAGCAAGTGCTTTCTCTCTTGAGACACACAGGACTCCCAGGGGCAGTACAAAAAAAGTAGTTTGATACTACTTTTTTTATTTTTACTATTTTAGAGCCTTGTCTCTGTTGGCATCATAGCTTATTAAAACACTGACAGTAAAAGGCTACATTATTCCACATGGCACAGTTTCCTTGTCAAGTTTCTTGTCAATTTGAACAAATCAGCAACTCAGCCTGATCATGACTCCAAGCATGACTCCAAGCAATCACATAACCTCCTATCCTTTTAGCCTGTTGGGTCTGACTGTCCTGTCCACTGTCCTGAAAAAGGTGCAATGTCACCACAACTGCATTTTCTGGGAGATAATTTAATCTATTAATGAAAGACATCCCATGTCTGTTAGCCTGTGTCTCCAGAGTCTTTTGTACTGGGCAATACTTTCACATCTCTACACTGATCAGCATAAATGTAGTTCTCTTCCCCCTTGTCACTGAGACAGGTACTGTATATGTAATAAAGTTAACATTATAATTTTTTAATAGATTGTTTTCACTCACACGGGGGCCTGGTTTTCCTGGAGGACCAGGGGGGCCCTGTTCTCCTCTATCACCCTGGAAAACAACACAAAAGAACATCAGTGTTAGGACTGTGTTTGCTTCCAACATGTCGGTTTCCCTGCAAATGCTACGATAATTGAGTCTGTAAGGTTCAAACCAGCAAGGCACAGCACTCGAAGTTCAGAGGCAGAAGCACTCGGCTGTCACACACAGCACCTCTGTCACAGTGCTGAGCTCACACCTTCCTCCTCACCTGCAGGAGATCGACTCACATGAGGAAGACTTCTTCACAGTAAGCTTCCCGAGGCTCTGAGAGCTGTTTTAGTGATTTCAGTGCAGAAAGAGTCCATACTGTACAGAGAAAATATCTTAGAAATAACCAAGCCCCACATTTTCTTCTGAAAAGGGCTCATTTTGGATCCACAGTAATCTTTTAACTTATTTCAACCTAGGTATGGTTCTAACCTAAGTATGGCATGCATACATATTAAGAAATAACAAGTAATAGGTTTATTCCATGCTGAAACAAGAAAGAAAACACAACGTTTCGGCTGTGGAGCCTTCTTCAGGTGTCACATTTTATTATTTATTACTATTATCTTTATAAAAATACTTTTTTTCTGAATTGTAATTTTTAACAGCAGGATTCATGTCCAACTTCAGAAGTCAAATTTTCAATTAAATAAATGGCTTTGAGTCCTTGTGCTAGTGATGAGAAACATTCTTCAGCAGCTTACTGCTTCACTCAATAAGTCTGAATCCTTAAAAAATGTCCCGTAATAAGGTCTGAGCTTCAGACGCTCAGCAGGGATTACAATTAGATTGCACCGGGTACATCGTTTTTAACTTTTCATAATAATGGGAATAATTAGATACTTTTTTACTATTTAACTATAACTATTAACTACTAACTACTAATTATATTAGTACATCTTCATTAAAAAGAATGGCCACCAGAAAATTAAAATTATTTAAAATATAGCCTAGACATAATATGTGTTCATGTACTAATATGTATATTGTTGTAAGACACCAAAATCCAGTTTAAAAATGTGTTCAGAAGGAAGTAACATCTAGTGATTTCACATAGGATATGCGATCACAGGTACTTATTAGCAAATTACCTCTATATCCTAACAGCCTTCAATAGGCTGCCACACACCTCGTTATCATGTAATTAAAGTAAATATTGTTAAAAATATTTTATTAGCTATTTCTCAGAAATATTTTGGCACTTTATTAGTTGCTTAGCTGATGAATACATCTTTCAGTTACCATTTGTGTTAATTGATTTTTATATTATACAGTAAATATCAATTAACCAGCTTCTTTCACAAATTAATTGGTGAAAGTTTTTTTGTTTGTTTTAATTGTAATAATATTGTCTTGAATGGGGTGATTTTTATATCTGTAGTAAAATTTAGACATAAAAGTATGTGCGGTAGGGTACCCACAACCACCTGCACATGAGAATGTCTCAGAAACCTTACTTGTTGTTTTTGTGGGTGGGCTTGTGCATGGAAAGATGGAAAAACACAATTAAAATTAAGTCGCAAAAAAAACAGCCTTGTTTCAATTTAAAGTGGGAGAAAGATGAATGTGTAATATTTCTGATCTGCCAGTACACCCATTCAACAGGAGACCCATCTGGCCAGTGTAAGCCTCTGCTTTATGTTTGAGTGTTGCCGTGAGTGAGTGGGAGCAGGACACACCCCGGACAGGACAACAGTCCACTGTATGGCACATACACACACATTCACTTATACACAATAAGAGGGACATTCATAGCTGTCAAGCATGTCTTCAGACTATGGGAGGAAACCTTAGCACCTGGAGAAAAGTAGACTCCATACAGTGTTCTAAGATGAAATCAAACCCAGATCCCAAGATCTGTAAGCTGTCAGCACTAATTGCCATCCCATTGTGTTGCCCACAATAAGATATACAATTATTATGTGCATGCTTCCATTTTCTGGACATAAATGTAGTGTGCAGTAGTTCTAATACATCACACCTTTCCATTCTGTAGGTGAAAGGCTCTGCTCAGCTACTCATATTGCTTGATTATAAATTATTTAACAGATGATGATAATGTGGCCTGTTTAAGCATGCTGAAGTTGATCCATTATCCTGGAAATGAATTAATCGGTGACAGGAATAAAAACATACTCACTGGCCCACCTCTTGGTCCAACAGGGCCGACTTCACCTTGCTCTCCTCGTTCCCCCTGCAAAGAACAGCACCATGAGTCCCCCTGGCATCCTGACATAAGGACTTTAACAGCAACATGAATAAATAATCTTCGTCCGTCTTACCGTTTTGCCAGAAGATCCCATAGTGCCGATTAAGCCTGGGTCACCAGCATTGCCCTGAGACAAGAACACAGTCATTAGCAGGTGATTGATTTGAGTGCAACATTCAGTAAAATGATTCTGTGCCCAGTTTACATTTACATTCTAAACAGAAAAACCTTTTTCTTAGCTCGTAACAGAAATTATGCGTCTTAGTTCTTAGTTGCACAGTGAAAATCAGTTGCTGTGTTTCTAAATGGACAGTTCAGTGTATGAGAATGGTTAAGGCAAGAGGTCTGTTTCCTACAGACTTACACAATTTTACCATGAATTACTGTGTATAATAATGTATATTTTCTCTGTGCAAAGATCTGAAGTTTCCTATTGAATCTGCAAAACCTTCATATAATGTTTTATAATTTATAATAGTAAAATGGAATCAAATCACTCTTAGAAATGTTCCACCTTTCTTTTTTAGTTTTTCTTGCCAGGCTGCTCCATCTTATCTCATTGTTGAATAGATGTTTCTAGCCCCCATTTTCACTTTATATTGAAGATGTACCTTACATTAATGTAACTTTTTGGCCAGATACACCTTTCACTAGCAGAAATTAAGAAGTTCAGAAAGAACAGTACCTCACCTGTCTGCCAAAGTACTGCAGTTCATTTTAAGAACTTATATTTGAGCTCTGATTGATTTGATCCAAATGTAACAAAGCAAAGGCAGGTTTTCTTTATAATGTTGCAGCAATTGGGTAGTTAGTAAAAACAACTACAAATACAAGACATACCTTCTCACCACTAACACCTTTTGGTCCAGGTGCACCAGGCAAGCCCTATTAAGGACACAGAAACATATAAATTAGTTGTTTTTACTGAAGTATTGTTTTAACAATTTAATTTGACTGTTAGCTGATAAATCTATAATTGTGACAGATGGGTTTTGACTGCAGTCATTTTAGACAAAGCCAAGCTCAGCACACTTCATCCAGACTATTAGTGTGTCTGTGTACTGAATCTGATCACAAACATGACGAGCAAATCTTAGTTTTGGAATCCAAAGAGTGTACAACTTTATATAAATGTTTGAGACCTCAAACAAGTGTCTCGTGTTGTTCCATGAGGACTTGTACAAGGTTTACTCTGATGATGGCAGTTCTTAAGATCTTAAAATATGGTGGTTTTGATAAGCCATACTCACGAGAAGACCCTGCAGGCCAGCTTCTCCTGGAGCTCCTGGTTTTCCAGGATTGCCCTAGACAGGAAGTTCAAAAGCCTGAGTTGGGTCCTCTGCGTCACTGACTTAGAATTAACAATAACAAAAATGAACAGCTCTCCTAAAGAGTCTTAATATACCTTTGTCCCTGGCAGTCCAGGAATCCCTTCACGACCATCCACTCCTGGTAATCCCTAATTTAAACAGAAATAAAAGATCTGTCAAATAGAACAGGATTGGGAGTCACAGGCAAAATTAATGATAGGCTATATAATTCATTCCTTGTCTATACTCATTGTCTCTCTATGTTCATGTACCTGCCTTGATTACAGTTCCAATTAAAAATTTAAATGTAATTCTGTACAGCCACCCTGGGATGTCCACAATACATCAAATAGCACATCAGACATACCTATTTTCTGAGAACAGAGATGAGACTCAAAACGTTTAATGTCTCTGTAGAGTTTGCCGGCAAACCAGCAAACTGAGACAAATCAGATGATGATTTATTCTGTGTTGAACTCGTCCTCCATTTCTTTTAGGTAAATCATAATACTTTATATCTTAATCATATTATGATTAATCTATTTTTATATCTCTATCTTAATATCAAAAAGTCTAAATAAATTGAACTAAATGCCTAAGTAGGTTAAACTACATGTTATCCATGATAGCAGTTAATGGGCCTTTACAAATTTCACTGTGCAATTAAATCATTGGTATAATACGAAATTTAAATAATCAAGAAAATATTATTTTTTTATTTTACAATGTATATTTATTTTTATTTCAAATGCTACATTGTTCTTTGTTTCATATATAGTTAGGCAACTTGTCAGAAATACATTTTCTTTTCCCCCATAACATAACTAGGACAGGGATCAATGGTCTGACCGCATAGGGACAATGATAAAGTGGTGATGATAATGTGGTGTTAAATTGTCTTTACACACAAGTAAAGATATTGCATGAAAGAGTAGGATTTAATATCACGGTGAATTCAGTGGTAGAATCTGGGCTGAATGGCCTCCTCTAGTTTGGAAACTTTCTTATGTTCTTATTACCGTGTGACTAAAATGAAGCACTTTAATAACTCTTCATTCAAAAAGGAAAACTTCCTTTTCCATATTAATACTCCAAAGTGTACTGTTTGGTCAACATATTTAAATGAGACTGACTAAAAATAGTAGACATGTTGTGCAGAATAAGTGTGAGTTTCTGTAGCAGAAACTCAAGTTAAGAATATGGTTACTTTTGTTTATGTACAGTAAAGTGCTATATGCAATATATATTTATTCTCATGAAATACACAGTGTTAACTGTGCCTCTCTGAAAAACCACCCCTTTTGCAAAACCTTTAGTCTTGGTGGTAAGTTATTAAATCACTTGTTCCCTCAGTTAAGCTCTACCAAATTCTTCAGCATCAATTACAACATACAAACCAAATGTCAGTAATTTATGACATCTAACTTCATAGTGTTTTACACAAAGTCTAGACCAGGGCTATTCAGCTTGTGCCCCTCACAGTCTGCTCCATTATAGAATTTTGCTACAACCAGCTTCTTGTTTAACTGAATCTAAATATACTTACAATTAAATATACTTACAGATTCTCCTTTGGGACCAGGTAGACCTGTAATTCCTCTTGGACCTTGAGGGCCCTAACAAATTATAAAAAATACATACAATTTTTATCACAATCAAAATGTTGCATATCCCATTCGAAGTCAAAAACCGAAAGTGGTTTTACAGAAATTGTTTATACAATACATAATAATTGCTTATGATCCTTGGTGTCCCAGATCAATTCACACACAGGAAATGACCCACTTCATCCAACACAGAGGCCTCACTACACAGCAGACCAGAGGAAGCATAAACACACCGAATAGGAAGTTTCCTTTTAAGAATAAAAATGGTGTCTCACAGGTTCTGCATTAGCAAAGTGTAACTGTTAAGAACAATTTAAGTAAATGAACACAACCAAGTGTTTGCTGTTGTTTACATCAATGTTTTTATTTTAAGAAGCTATTTATCTGTTTTTGATATTTGTATTTTTATTTCAAATAAAAGAGCATGTCTGTGAAACAAAAATGATGGGGTGTTCTGATGATAAAGGAATAGCTTTTCGTACTGATCAGACATTTACTTAATTTTCTTCAAGCAGAATACTTTTTGAAAGGGTTTTAAAAAGAATGCTGCATTAAAATAAGTGCTGAATAAAAGCTAAGTAATTGAGGAGATCACAGTCGCAGTTCACAGCTGTATTTGTCTTTATGAGGCTAACTTAATGATTAAATTGATATAATTTAATAAGCCTGTCAGATGGTGGTAGCTGTGTGGTTACGGCACTGCATGTCCTCTGATTATACTAGGAATACAGGCCGAGGAGATCGAGAGGAACCAGCTGTGGCATCTCAAAGAGGAAAATGGAACTGAGGTCTCAGAATGGCCAAAAACCCTAAACTGTACATCAATAGGTGGAAAGCAGAGCACCAAGTGAAAAGCTGCACTTGTGTAGGGAAGATAAATTCCAACAGATAGATTCTTGACCCTGGACGACAGAGGTGTAAGGCAGTGCTAACCACCTTGCCGTTGTTCCCCCTACTTCACTTACCTGGTCTCCTTTTGGCCCAACCTCACCCATCACACCTCTCTGTCCTTGATCACCCTAAAATTACAAGAAACTCAATTTTAAAAAGGTGTACAAAATATTAAAAATGAAAACATATAAATTTAATTTAATAACAGTTCTGTGTTAACATACTTTTTTTTCAAGATCGATAATATACCATATTTCTTCATACTTTCAATGTTTTGAAGCAGAAGATTTTGCCTGTGAAGATATTTGAATTGAACAAAACCTCATGCTCAGGTGGTGTCATTCTCAATGTGATATCACATGGAATCACACAGAAACACAGCTGGACATCACGTTCTCAAGTACTCATACTCCAAAAATAAAAAAGAAAAATCCTTCCTGTTAGAACTGGCTTTGTAAATGGCGGGTTTTGATTTGTTATGCTAATCAAATCTGATTTAACCCATCAACATAACTTAACTTAGGAAATGTCTGATTTAAACCTTCCTGAGACTTTACTTACCTGTAAACAGTCAAAGGCATTAGAAAAAGATTTACTGTATTATACAGTAAACAGCAAGAATATTGTCACCCTTCTATAACACTCTTCTAGTAGACAGGTGTCAATGATGATGCTCAACTCCTCCCTCACCCCACTTCCAGACTAAAGCAATGCCAGGATAAGTAACACCTGGACAGCTGTGTGAGAGTGCAAGAACAGACTTCAGCTCATGTTCAGTGAATGGTCCCAGACACAGATCACCAATTCAAGCATTACAAATTAAAAAAGTAAGTTTATAGAAATGCAAGATCATCTAGATCCTTAATAACAAATCCTATCCTTTTTAGGTGTTTAAGCAGAGAGCCTGCAGAAAGTGCACAAACACTATACGGACTCAGAGAATAACTACTCTTAGTGTCTGATTTTCCAAATAAGAAAAAACAGAGATATACTAAAGAAAATACACATACTGCGGCTCCCTGAACTCCTTGAGGCCCTGGCTCCCCATCATGTCCCCGAGGTCCCTGCAAGAAAAAGGTACGGAGAGTTAAAGGGGAGAAAAACAAATTATTCTACAGCTCGCTTCAAATTGTGCTAGAGTAATGAAAAACAAAAGATTATTTTCAGAGATACAGTAGTTAGTAATCTCAGTGGATTCTCAGTAAACGTCAGTAGATTCTCAGGAGAAACACCGAGATTAATTTATGTATAAACTTGCACAAGTCGTCCAGCTGCATTTATATGTGCTGTGTAAATGCTACCAACAAAATGTTTACCTCTTGCACTCACAAAATGGGAGGTCATGTTCTGGCACAGACAGTATTTCCTGGAATAAACATGCTGAACATATATAACTGCACTGGAATCCAAAGATGTAACATCACCAAGAACTGAAGAGACTGAAAAGTACACATACATAGCCAGGCTCCTCTCCTGAGATAAATGTCTCATGCTGTTTCACAAATCAGCTCCACACGTTACTTCAAAACAGAAGTTAACAAAAAACCCAGAGGAATGATTCCAAAATACAAACATGGTATAAAAGCTCCTCATGAGTGAGAGATTGGGGAGATGATTTTCAAAACTCAATGTGTATGTCAGCTAACTCATAATTTTATTTCTACAAAATAAATGTAGCTTTTATTCAAGACAATTAAATGAACCAGGACAAAATATACATACAAGGTTTAAAAGGAAAGCAGTCCATTTGACCCATCTTGTTCATTGGATAGTCTAGTAGATGAGAGATGCTAAAATTTCATCCAGCCATTTCTTGATGAGTTTGGGTCTCTACCACCTGGCTGAGCCCAATCCAGATATATACAACCATTTGTGCCAGAGGCACTTCCTATTGTCCATCCTAAATGAATTATTTTAGTTATTTTTTTATAGTGACACTGTGCCCTTGTTTTGCTCCTGACTGTGAAATAGTTTTCTAGTTTGGTACCAGCTGTATCTCTTGGGATTTATTGTTCGTGGTTCAAATCTCCTGTGTTCTAGGGTGAAGAGATTTAGTTCTGTTAACTTGTCCATTTCCTTTAGACCAAGTATCATTTTTGCTTTGAAGTGTTTCTAAGGCTGTCATATCCTTTTCGCTGTACAGTGACAAAAAAAGAAGAAAAAAAATAAACAAAAAGGAACATTCTAAATGAAGTCATGTAAAACTAAAGCGTAAATAATGTTCCTACAGCTCAGAGTCAAGCACATCATATGTGTAGTGCTGTTTCTGCTGGTTTTCATTCCATCTAAGTTCTAAATCACCAGTGCTAATTGATGCCTTTAAATAATCTACTTCTTGTTAGACTTTTGCTTTACTTGTTTCGGCACTAAGTTCTGAGTTTTAAACATATTTTGTTCAACTACTTTCCATTTCAATACCAACAAAGGCATTGTCAACTTTAGGACTTTTTTCAGAATCAACAATGATCTAAGTACCACAAGATATGAATGGAAACTAAGGGGAATTCCATTACATCTTAGAACACAGGAGGAACTCCTTTACACAAAGGGTTGTGAGTGTCGGCCGGCTACCGAAGTTATTATCAAAGTCAATACCACAGTTTCTTTTATGAAATGACAGTATGAGATCTTAGGGTTATTTAGATACTATAAACCATATCAGCTAGATACAGTATGCCAACTGACCTCCTCCTCCTATGCACATTCATGGTGAATAGGCACATATGGGAATGACAATAAATCCAACAATCCCACAATGAGCATTTTGCTTCCTTCTGCCAATGCCCAGCTGGATTTCAGGCAGCACACCTGAATGAGGAGAGGTCTGAAATCCAGAAATCAGTGCAAGTGTTGATGCCAATAAGTAGTTTCATTTAATTTTATTTAAGAACTGAATGCAAAACTAAAAATGTCCCAAATAAAAAATGTAATCAATTAGTCTATAAGTAACTCATCTGAAGTAAAAAGCAGAAGACACAGTGGTTTCCTAGGAGCAGGAATTAGGCACCACTGATACAGCATACGTAACTGATACAAGGATCTCATCCAGCTTCTTGATAGAGCCAGGGTATCAGCTTCAACAACAGCTGATTCCAGCTTCCACAACCATTTGAGTCATCTGTCTCCTGTTCTCAGTGTATTTCCATGTGATTTCCCCTTGTGTCCTGGTTTAGTGAAGGTCTTGTTTAATTGAATTATTTGAACAAGAAACAATGATAGCTCTATCCTATCATTGTTTTCCAATACTGGATTTTCAATCCACTTTTTCAGGTAATAGTGATAGTGACACAAAAGCATTGAAAACACAAAAGCACGTGACATGATATATTTATAAAGTCAATTAATATGCTCATTTTCAAATTAAAAATATTAGTAATCCAAGGGTTTGAATAATGGTGAGGAAACTGTCATCTTAATGGGCATAACCCTTTATTGGGCAGAAGTAAATAACTAAAAACTGATCAGGTGTACAGCAAAGACCTGTTTTAGGCCCATTGCTCTTTCTGATCTACATAAATTATTTCAATTTTCTTATACTTAGCTAAATGACTTACAAAAAGACAGACAAAATCATGGATTGAGCGGACACTTTACATATAAAAATTACTGTTTATAAATGCAAAGTGATCCTGGGTCACTGGAAGCAGAAACCTTCTGTAGCTACAATACTAAACCAGACAAGCAAGATGGGCCAAATGTTAACAAACGTTCTTATGTTGTTATGTTCTTCATTTTCTAGCCTGTGGAAACAGGTCCCATCCTAACCAAGAATTGAAATGTCAACCATCAAATATTAAACTCCTTCATTTCTGTACGTACAGCTGGGAAACCGCAGTCAGGCCTCTGCAATTTCTCAGCAATTTTACCACATTTATTCCTTTACTTATATTTTAGCTGTTTGAAAAGATTATGTCAAAAGGAATATCTCTTCCCTAGTAGATGCTTTTGCAAATGTGGGTCAGAAGCAATTGTTTCAACCACTGTCAATTTCAAATTCAGTGTTCTTTATCACTATATCCCAATTCCTGTATTGAAAACTAAAATCTCCCTAAAACCTCCGAGTAACATCACTTTTACTAAGGAACAAGTAATAGGTTTATTCCATGCTGAAAAAAAGAAGAAAGGGAACACAACGTTTCGGCCGTGGAGCCTTCTTCAGGTGTGACACCTGAAGAAGGCTCCACGGCCGAAACGTTGTGTTCCCTTTCTTCTTTTTTTTTCCCTTTCTTCTTTTCAAGTTTTTTTTCAAAAACTTGTTCCTTTGCAGCCTACGCATGCTGACGCAGCTACCCACCTGAACTACTATCACTTTTACTACATGCTTTTCTGATCTCATTATAACTTGTCCATT